CATACAAACAGACATTTGGAATTGTGCAGCTGTTTTCCTTGATGGGGCACGCACAATTAACAAATATCTGAAATACCTGTCCGAAGGTGTACCTGGGTGTGAATCAGATGGGCCTTCGGTGTGAGAGACCTGATGATGTACCTGGCTGGGCCAGTTACCTGCCACGGGCTGGGGTAGCCCAGCTCCCCCCACAGCCACTCCCTTCCTTCCCCACATCCACTTTTGTTATTACACAAGCTTATTAGCATTCTTGCACGTGAGCATTTTTAACCTGTTTTGGGGCAGTACCTGATCTAAGCCTGACTCTTAAGATGACAATCAGAAGTTTGAAACAGCACAAAGCTTCCAGTGTGGCATAGCACCTGTAATTTATGTTGCATCTCTTTAGCAAGAACCTTGTTCATGGTGTGTGTGCTGGTAAAAGGGGAAGTTCACTCTTAGCAAACACCTCGGCTTTACCTCGGCATCCCAGTTCCTCTTACTGCTGTCTCTTGCTTTTCTTATTCTTCCCCAGGAATGTCGCCCTTCCGATACGATTGCTCTGCCAGGTCTAGTCAGAGTGCAGAGCTGAACCCGGGCCCATCGATGACAGAATAACTGAGTCCCTGTTTTTATAACTGAATTGCAGCTACCGCAACTCGCCCCGGAGGGCATGCCGGCCAGTGCTTGTGAGTTCCTGCGTGTCTGCCACGAGCACAATGTTGGATGGAAACCCCTTAAATTTGAATTTTGCTTGGGAATTGCATCCCTTTCATGGGAAAATGGGTATGATAACAATATGCTGTTAACTGTTTTGTGATGCTGATTTTACCAATCAATATTTAATTTAGTGATCGGAGAGTTTCTGTTGTAAATAGCCACAGACTGCACGTCTGGTATCTCTCTTGTGATACAGCCACTGAACGCAAAGATGCATTTTTTTTTAAGCACGTAGGGAAATTTTTCTGTGTTTATAGTGAAATGCAGGAAGACCTCATCTTTGCCCTGGAGGATTAAACTGTGCCCTGTAGCACAGCCCTCATTTGTGTAGTGTAAGAAAAGGCGCTGTCACAGAGCTTTGTACAGTTGTTGGTATCTGTAGCTGAATTAAACTGCTGCTCAGCAGGCTGCAGCACTTGTGTGGGAGCGGTGCAGCGGTGCCCTCGGGGCTCTGCTCCTTGGAGGGGAGAAGCTGTGCCACCAACAGAGGACCTGCTACTGGTTTTCTGGGGGAGGATGTGAACACCTGCAAACGGGAAAACAATGAAAAGTTCAGGAAATAGGTGAGGTAGAGCTGGTTCATTTTAGCAGTTTGTCACCTGAACAAGGGTGTCTTTCATATTTTGCTGTTGTGCTATTCTGTGCCTGAAGTTCTCAGTTAACTTCGTCGCCTTGCTTGCTGGTTGTAAACACACGCGACGTTGTCCATTTTCAGTGGAACAAGGGTGGTTTTACGTCGCTTATATTGATCCAAAGTGTGTAGACTTGCTGTGGATACGTAACCCTGTTTGTGTGACCGGATTACTTGGTTCACGCTCGGCCAGGCCTGGAAGGATCTGGGTCCCGTCCCTTCGGACAGGTGACCCGCAGCATGCTTTGAGGGGAGCAGCGAGCTCCGGGGACAGCCGCGTTTCTAGGTCGGCTCCGCTGCCTGTGCACGTTACCGGTGGCACCTGATGTGAAAGCCTTCAAGGCGTTCGCTTGCGCCAG